CCTTCAAAACCACCAAACTGGGCCGGGGATATAGCTCAGTGGCACAAGCGCCTACCTGGCAAGCACAAGGTCCTGAATTTGATTCCTAGAACCATAAAAAAAAAAAAAAAAAACACCCACCAAACTCTCCATCTTTTTACAGCTAAAACTAGGGGCTTATGACAAAAAAACCAGACTTACAGATAACCTCCAACAGCAGAAAGGTATAAGAGTCAAGAGGTTACAACTGCTATTCCAGTCCCCTAAGAGCAGTTTCTGGGCACAGCTCTTTCCCTGACCTGCCTTTAGTTTCTGGAGCTCATGCTTTGATTATATATGCTTTAATTTCTTGGCAAATTTGTTTATTCTTGCTTAGAGGCTGCCAAACTCCAAGTGATCATGCAAATGGAACCAACAACACATTGCCAGACTCCTAAAACTAGGATCCACCAGACTGACCTTGTGAAGGAAGCTCACAACTGCTAAATTGCAATATGACTTCTGTCCAAGGCCAACTAGATTAGTTCTCTGGAGAAATCCAACTGCAGCTGCCCTTACACCAACCTTTCTCAGCTCAAACCATGTAGATAAAACACTTCTCTAACCACAGCAAGGGGTACCTCTTCAGAGGGGGGAATATTATAGACAGCTGTTAGGTAGAAACATTACAGGTAATCAGACAGACCTATGCCCTCCAGTCTCAGTGCAGAAGATGAAAACACATGGGACCTGTGGGTGGAGGCCTATCTGAAGATTAAAATCACCACAGATAGATTTGCATACTTCCCTAAGAGATAAACAGAAGCTTGAAATTAGTGCTACAGATGTCCCATATAAATGAACCATTATCTTATTTGGGTGGGCCATCCTTTCACACCAACACTAAAACTACTACTAGGAGTAGTACTACTGAAACCAAGACTAAAGACAAGACTAAAACCACAGATTATCGGCAGAGGTTAATGATGTCATCCAAATGCCCTTGCTGCTACTGGGTCAATTTTAGCCAAGGGTCTATATATACTTATCACTGTATTGGTTGATAATAGTTTTGACCCACATTGTACCAACCTCCTAACTTCGCTCTATAAAATTTTCTCAGAGAAGTGGGCTCATTGGCAAACCATTTGGGAGCCCTCCAGTGTCTCAGGAGCTATTCCTATTCCCCAACCTTATTTCCCAACAAATTTTCCTTAATTTTTTTTTTTTTTAAGCCAGGTGTGTTGGCCCAGGCCTATAATGCCAGAACTCAAGAAACTGAGGCAAGAGGACTGCCTGAGTTTGAGGCCAACCTGAACTACACAGTGAGACCCTGTCTTTAAAAATATTAATTTTTCTAAATTTTGAGACAGGGTCACTGAATTGCCCAGTAAGGGCTTAAACTTATGATCCCCTGCCTCAGGCTCCAATAGTGCAAGGATTATAGATGTGTGCCATCACTCCCAGCATATATTTGCTATATCCGTTGGTACTTAATACAAATTTAAGACTGTGTAAAACACTGTTTCTCACGTTTTTGCCCACCAACATTAGCATCCATCAGTAATAATTATTACACTAGTATATGCTTATCAGAGCATTTCTATCTCCTTTCTTCCTTTTGCATTTACCAGGTTTGATCAAAAATCACAGTGACTGGCCAGACATGGTGACCCAGCACTCAAGGAGGCAAAGGCAGGAGGATAATGTAGGCCGGTCTGGATTACATAGTGAGTTCAAGATCAGCCCAAACTACATAGTGAGAACCCGTAACAAAAAAATCCAACCCCTACCAATCAGTAAATAGGAAGAAATTGCTCAAATGGGAAGGTGAAGTGTGGGACAAAAATATGGAAACCAAACTTTTGTAAATAAGTAGAGGAAGAGTAGAAGAAGAGAGGTGGTTGGTGAAAAAGAGTAAGTCTTTCTTTTGGAGATAAAGTAATGCTACGTTGTCCAGGCTGGCCTCAAACCTGCAGCAATTCTCCTGCCTCAGCCTCCCAAATGCTGGAATTATAGGTGTGTGTTACCTTTCCAGGCTAATCAAAATATGTTATGTACAGGTACAAATTTCCTATCATGATGAATGTGACCATTACTTATATTTCAAATGTACTAATACAATTAATTTTTAAAAAACTACAGTGATCTTTAAAACTGTATTACAGTAAAAGACACATTACCATTAATCGCCCTCAAAATTACTCCCCTTCATTTCATACACACTTATCCCATCATTCTTGCCACTTTCTGAAGCAGTTCTGCAAATCCTCTGTCACGGTCTTTAGTTCCACTGTTGTGGGAACTGCTTTTAAATATTTACCTTTCATGGTCACTCTAACTTTGGGCAAGAGTCAGAAGTAACAAGTGCCAGAGTGTGAATAAGGGGAATGAAGACACATCCTAATGTTTTTACAAGCCAGTCTTTTCATTAGATGGCACTCAGCATCACTTCACAGCCTTTTTTATTTGTTTGAGACAAGGTCTCACTATACATTTCAGGCTGGTCCTGAACTGACTATGTAGCCCAGGCTGGCCTTCAACTCATGGCAATTCTTCTGCCTCAGACTGCCTGGCCTGTTTCTTGGCCTTTTGGTTAAGATCAAGTGACAATCAACAGCACTAACACCCATCTATTTTTTATCACATCTTGTGATGGCATAAAAGCCTTCCAAAAGCACTTCAAAAAGTGCCAGGAATAGGCCGCGGACAAGTTCAGTGGCACAGCGCCTGTTTGGCAAGTACAAGGTGCAAAGTTAGATTTCCGGTCCCCCGCCTCCCAAAAAGTGCCAGAAACAATGAAATAAGTGTGTTTGAAGCAAGGTAGTGTATTTTGAGGGAGATAAATGGCAGTGTGTCTTTTACTGTTTATTACATTTTTAAAATTTAAATATTCACTGTATTTCAATGATACCTTGTAGTAAATGCAATTCTTTGGATTTGAAGGTAACAATATGCAATGGAATTACCATAGTGAATCCCTACCATCTTGTTTAGTGAAACTCTGTATTATCTCTAATGTTTTATCTGATAAATATTTGCTTATTCTTTCTAATGGTTTCAACAGTCTTCCATTCGTACATCTGGTAATCTGAGCAACATAGTTGAGGATAGCAATATGCAATATAACAACCACTGTTAATTCATATTATTATGTCTTGAAACCCTTTATCACTTTAAATGTTCTTGTTTTGGTTTGTTCATGTTTGTGATACTGATATGCTGCTATTGTTCTATTTTTTGTTTGTTTTTGTATCATTTACTACTCTCTTTAAATTAAAATTTAAAAAATAAAATAAATAAAATATGAGGAAAAAGTTGGATTCCAGTAAGGTTCACCCTGGGGGAGAGGTTGTTTCTCTTTCTTTGTACAAGCAGAAGTGATATAAACATGTTTAGATGAAAAGAAGTGAGAAAGAGTTGTATACCTGTGGTTCTCACAATCTACTCACCTCTGCTGCCACAGCATCTGAGCCAGTAGTTTTAGAGGGAATTTTGAGACTGCATTTCTAATAATTCTGCAGGTGGTAATGAGTACAATTTGGGACTGTCACGTCTGATTTTATGCCACTGAGCTATACCCCTGGCCCAGAAATTTTGATTTTGAAAGTGCTGTTAAAGTAGTAAGTACTTGTGGTAAGAAGTAAGGTAAGTACTTGTGGTTAAGAAGTAAGGTCACATAAAATCAGAATAGTCCCAAAATAGAAATATATATACATCGATATAATGAGGTACACAAAGGAGGTTGGAAAAATACATTAAAATACAGAGTATCACCTATCTGCAGTGCAGAGAAGCCTCATTCCGTTTTTCACTTTCTCCTTTACTTTTTCTGTCTCATGAACACCTTACTTCTTACCACAAGTACTTACTACTTTAACAGCACTTTCAAAATCAAAATTTCTGGGCCAGGGATATAGCTCAGTGGCATAAGTGCCTGCCTGGCAAGCACAAGGTCCTGAGTTCGATTCCCGGGACCAAAAAATAAAAACAAAATTTTTTGGTAGTGAGAATAGTAAATGAGTACTAATTACAATCAAAATTTCTAAGTTTGCTGCACCTATCGCACCATTTCTTTAAGGTACTTGGCAACCAGAAGAGTAGTATTTATCCCATTATGTATCACAAAAAAAATTTTAGGAACAAAGAAAAATGGTATCATTTTATATACCTCCTGGATCCAACTACTCCCCTAAACTTCCTTAGTTAATATAAAAGATCTTAAGTGAATAATCATGGTGATTTTTGTAGTGCTGATTTTCAAATACCCATACCCTTTCCATCAGACTTCTTTCAGAAACCTTTTTAAACAACTATCAATAGCATTAAAACGCACACATATTAACAGTAGGGTTACAGTCACTTCAAAAATAGATAGAAAGCCAGGTGTGATGGTACACACTTGAAATCCCAGCTGAGGAGGCTGAGGCAGGACGGTCAAAAATTTGAGCCCAGCGTGGGCAATTCAGCAAGACCTTGACTCAACATAAAAAATCTTTTGTTTTTGTTTTTTGTTTTGGTACCAGGAATTGAACTCACAGCCTCATAGTTGCCAGGCAGTTGCTATACTACTGAGTTACATTTCTGGCCCTACAAAATGCTTTTAAAGAGGTGGCGATGTAATTCGTTCAGAAAGGTCATCTTGGATTAAAATTACTAGTACCAAAAAATGGAAGAATAAAAGAAAGAGAAGATAGAAGCTAATAGCAAGTCAAAACCCTGTTTTCTACAAAAAATGTTCTAGTAAATCAGTGAACATTCTTACAATAAATTACATGTGATACTGCCTATGCCCTTTATTTAACATTAAAGTATTCGCAAAGTATCCTTCACCACCTAAAAAGTCCCAAAAATAACAATAAATTATACTTGAATATAAAGTAATCCTCTACATGTATTAAAAATAAGCAATTTTCTTTTTTTCCCCCATTCGTATCACTTGCTTCTAATGGGTAGTAAGACTGTTATTAGTAACACACACAATGAACACTGTATACATGCACATATATATTCATATTTATAATACAATGATGTTCTCTTACCTAAGTTGTATTTGTTTCCGTTTTTGCAGCTCTTGGTTTCTGAGTTCTTCCAAGCGTCTGAGTTCTTCCTGACGTCTCATTAGATCTAAAAATATTTACTATACATTAACATCTTTAATTTCTCTTTCAGCTTTTATATCAGTAAACACAGATTCTCTGTTCCTTACAACATATTTAGTAACTTCATATTCATCACCTAACTTCTATTGTTGCTCTGTTAATCTAGGTAATTATTCAAACTAGTATCCTTTCTGGGCATGTTCCTTCATATCTATACAGTAAGAAAATTCATCTTTATGCTTAGAATCTGGAATAGATAATTTCTGACTTAAGGTCTGAAATTTATTAAAAACAAAATAAATGATAACTATATTAACATATTTTCATTTACTGCCTCAAAATTACAATATTTTTAGCAGCAAACACAAAGTCAAAAAAGATGCCATGGGAAACACCAGCAAAGGGCACTTACGCTGGACGAGGTGGTACACACCTGTAGTCCCAGCACCCAGGAGGCTGCTGAGGCAGGAGGATCAATGGAGAATTTGAGGCCAGCCTTGGATACACAATAAGTTCAAGGCCAGCCCAAAATACAGAGGGAGACCCTGTCTTAAAAAAGCAAAAATAGGGGCTAGGGATTTAGCTCAGCGGCACAGCGCCTGCCTGGCAAGCAGGAGGTCATGAGTTTGATTCCCAGTAACAGAAATGAAATAAAAAATAAATAAATAAATAAATAAATACCACCAGACAGAAGGTAGAAATAATGAAACAGATCCCTGCGTAAAACTCAGACAACATCCCACCTTGATGTTAACAAAACTGTTTCAAACTTCCAAAAACTGTATTCCCACTATCATCAATTCTTGTTGTATCAAAAATGGAATCAGGATTGGGGCCCAGCCCAGTGGTTGAGCAAGTATCTAACAGGCACAAGGCCAGGCATTCCATATCCAGCACCACAAAAACAAAAAACAAGCATTCCAGACTAAGATAAAAGTATATGTGTCCTGCATATCTATCTAAGAAGTAGCAGATAAACTGTGAAACTAACAAAAAAGCTCTGGAATATCATAAAATTTCATGTTCATATAAGTAAACTAAAGTATTAAAATTCATCATGTTACCTGAAATATGCAAAAAAATTTCATAAACTATCTCAATTAAATCCCTAACAACAGAAACATTTTTTCATTTCAGATTAAAAATAGACTGAAATGTAAAGTATACAAAGAGAATGAAAATCAACTAGATTATAAATTTACCCCAGCCGTCCAGCTATTACAAGGTTCAATAGGGAAACACAGGAAAAAAAAAAAAAAAAAAAAAAGGGAAACACAGATAAATCTCCATTTCATAGCTACATACTTCTGAATTGTGTCCCAAACCTGGTTACCAGGAAACTGAAAATAAAAACACACATAGTGGGACTCTGCTCAAAAGGGTTTGCTTGGTGTATGAAGCAGAAACCTGGTGATTCTGATCATGTGCTTGTAGAGAAATTACTTAAGTATCTCAGACCAATTCTAATAACATCTCCAGTGATTTAGACAAAGCATCTGTATTTAATTTTGAAGTCCCCCAAATGCTTCCCACTGTGTAAATACCACACAATCATCACATCATAATTTCAGCTGGAGAAATGTATTAGAGATCTGAAATATGTAATGTACTTTCATTAACAAAAGGAAGTGCTTCGGCAAGTAGAAGTGCCCTACACTGATAAACCAAGAAACTCAATCTAATATGTACTGGAATGTTTGGGGGGATTGTTCTACGGGGAGGGGGGTTGGTGTTTTTGAGACAGGGTCTATGCAGTTCAGGCTGGCCTCGAACTGGCGACAATTCTCCGGCCTCAACCTCCCAAGCGCTGGGACTACAAGCTTGCAGCACCATGCCTGGCATGTCCTACAATACTTTTATCCACGGTTTGTTTTGCAGGCAAGCTGGTTCTAATCAAGGAATAGGTACCTACCATGCGCTATCCTAAAATAAAAAAATGCAAAATTGTGTACATTCTCTTTCATGAAAAGAAATAGGAATACATTATCTTTTTTCTGACAACTGTATTTTCAAGCTGAACTATTTGAGATAATTGACTTTAACTTCTTTGATCATATTTTCTCATCTGTAACATCAGTATAATTAGCTCACAGTCAGTGGGGTTTAGTGGTACACACCTATGACCTCAACACTGGGAGGCTCAGGCAAGAAGTTCACAAACTCAAACCCAAATTAAGCAACTTAGTAAAACACTACTTAAAAAAAAAAGAAGGTGGTCTGGGGATATAGCTGAGTAGTACAGAATCCCTGGGTGTGATCTCCAGTACCAAAACATAAATGAAAAGCTCAAAGTTATAAACAATAGCCAGTGTGGGGACACATGCCTATAATCCCAAAACTTAGAAAATAGTATTACTGCAAGTTCAAGGCCAGCCTGGAATATATAGTGAGCTCAAGGTCAACAAATACATAGCGAGACCCTGCCTCAGAGAACCGAAGAAAAACCAAAAATTTAAAAAACAGTACCAAGCCAGGCGTCCTGGCGCACGCCTGTAATCTCAGCACTCAGGAGGCTGAGGCAGGATGATGGTTACGAGTTCAAGACCAGCCTGCACTACAAAATGAGCTCAAAGCCAGCCTGAACTGCAGAGCGAGACCCTGTCTCAAAAAGACCCCCCCACAAAAAAATACAGTGAAAGACACACTGCCACATGGAAACAAAGCTTTTGTAAATAGGGAAGAGGCTGAAGAGAGGGCAGGGGAATGGGGAAAAAAAGCAAGTTATATCATGTGCAAGTACAAATTCTCTATGATGAATGTGATCATTATATATATCTGAAATATACCAATAAAATCTGACTTTAAAAAAAGACACACTGGGGCTGGGGATTTAGCTCAGCGGCACAGCGCCTGCCTGGTAAGTGCAAGGTCATGAGTTCGATTCCCGGTACTGGAGAAAAACAAACAAAAAAAAGACACACTGCCATTATAACCTTATTAACAGCTTGAACCACTAGCGGAACACACAAGAATATCCCAAGACACCCAATGGGACAGTCGTGCATATACCACCAGCGGTTTAAGTGAGCAGGAATGTAACACATTCGAACTGAAGCTGTCTGGTAGTAAAAAATATGAATTACGGTACCATCTTTAATGTCTTCATGGGTTAATCCCGCTCCCTGCTGCTTCGAACACACTTACCCCATCATTCTTCCCACTTACTAAAGCAGTTTCACAAGTCTTTCCATGTCTTTAGCTGCACTGTGGTGGCTGCCTCAGTGTCCTTAATTGATTCAAAATGTTTACCTTTTATGGTCATTTTGATTTGGGGGAAGGCCTGTAGTCACATGTGCCAGAACAGGTAAATAAAGTGGATGAGAGGACACAGTGTAACGTTTTCACAGGTTTGCCTTTCCTTTAGATTAGGCTCAGCAGCCACACTCACAGTATTTTGGACCACACTTCCTAAAAGAGACTCGTGAAAAAGGACTTCCAGAACTGCTTCAGAAAGTGGCAAGAACAAATGGTGTGTTTCAAACAAGAGGAAATATTTTAAGTGGGATTAATGGTAATGTATCTTTTAATGTAATATTTTTTATTTATACTTTCTTCATGGTTTTCAGTCACTCCTCATATACAGGATTTGTTAACTACTGTCCCTGGTTTCAGGCTTCCTTGGAACATATTCCCCTCAAGTAAACAGAGACTACTGCAATTTGAGCATGCTTCCATTCTTCAATATAGGAAATCACACTAAGAAATATTTAGGAGTAATCCAAAGACGCCCATATATGTGAAGACATCACCTACAGCATTAGTTACTACAATATCAAATATTGTAAAATGCTTATCTAACAAATGTCAAGAGAACATAAAATTACACACTATAATTTGGAAGATAAACTCATTTAAGTTTGACTTGCTAGACTGTGAGAAACTATTTTGTTTAATATTGTGCCTATCATAAATAATGAATGTATTCTTTCTTACCCAAGAAGCCTTCCTAGAAAAAGTTTTCAATCTACAGATACAAAAAGGCCTTATCTAGTCAAGGAAAAGTTGAAATATTATAGTCTATAAAATATATTTTTAATACCAACACAGAAAGAATATAGCGAAGTCCAAGGGCGAAGTAAGCAAAATTCAAGCTTACTTCAGACTTCTCCATAAAAACTCTTAATGCTAGAAGATACTAAAACATTTTATCAGTTATTTAAAAAAGGGAAAAACAATTCCTGGTACAAAAAAAAAAAAGGGAGAAACAGGCAGGTATGGTGGTGCATACCTGTAATCCCAGCACTTGAGAAGCTGAGGTGGGATTGCCATGAGTTTGAGGCCAGTCTAAGCTACATAGTGAGTTCAACGCCAGCCTGAACTATATAGCGAGAGCCGCTCCCCACCTCCGCTTTTGTGAGACAGGTTCTCACTATGCACCCCAGGCTGGCCTCAAACTCACAGCAATCCTCCTGCCTCAGTTTCCTGAGTGCTGGGATTACTGATGTGTGCCACCACATCCCACAAGACCCATTCTCAAAACACCCAAAAAATTAACAAAAAATAAAGAACATTAAGTCAGAGTGACAGTCCAGAGAAAAAAAGAGACAAGAAAACAAAACTTGACAAGGAAGGAAAAGGAAGGATGGGTCAAATATAGCTATTTCCTTCATCTTTTCTTTGGGTGCCAGGAGTTGTTTCCTAGAGGTAATAAATATATTCCTATAACCTGATTTATCATTACAAAGGCATGAAAAGCATATGCTAAGTAATCAAGAAAAATCAAGTAGTAGAAAGAGGAGAATAATAAAATACATGACAGAATTAATACTTTCTGACAGTTGTATACCATAAAGCCCGGTGTGCCTGTGCCAGTAATCCCAGCATTCAAAAAGATCAACAAGAGAATCCAAGGTCAAGGCCAGCCTGAACTACTTAGCAAGGCCTTGTGTCAAAAAACAAAACACAACACAACACAACCAACGCCTTGGTAGCCAGGTATGCTAATGTACATCTGTATGCAAGAGGCCGAGGCAGGCAGAGCACAGAGAGTTTGAAGCCACCCAGGGCTACAAAGTGAGACCCTATCTCAAGGGTGCGTGAGGTAATATAGAAAGACTCAGTCTATTAAAAAAAGTTTAGAAAAGGCAGATAAATATTTACGGAAATGCTACATTAAAAAAAAAAAAAAAAAACTTAAAGAGTGAAGCAGAAACCAGGGCTCAGTGGCAGAGCCCTCCTTGCCCAGCATACCAAGGGCCAGGGTTACAACCCAGTGCACATGCACACACACGCATAGCAATCAGATGACTGTTTTTAAGAAAAAACTATCACATTAATGGAAAAGTTTGGTGATAGAAAGAATAATGATAGGGGCCAGGGATGTAGCTCACTGGCATAAGCACTTGCCTGGCAAGCCTGAGGTCATGAGTTCAATTCCCGGTACCAAAAAAAAGAAAGAATAATGATAGATATGTATAAAAGCTGGGGAGAAAGGCCAGAAATGAGTTCTGATACCTTTAGCAACTTACCAGATTGTTAGGTATCTACTCTTATAAATTCAGTAAGAATGCTATCAAGTATTTAAAATGTTGACTATTACGAATTTACTCTTTCCAAATACCCATATCCACCTGCACAAGTGACTCTTTCTCTTCTCTATCAGGTTATCATTCAGGAGGGTAGTAATAATCTTTAATAACCAATACCTGTCGTAGTGCTGGGGATATAGCTCAGCGGCACAAGCGCCTGCCTGGCAAGTGCAAGGTCCTGAGTTCGATTCCCCGTACCAAAAAAAACCCAAACAAAACAAAAAAAAAACCAACCCAATACCTGTCCTAATTCATCTTTCCAGCGAATAAAATCTTGATACACAGTTTTATGGCAACAGAACCTACACCAAAAATTGCCCACTTGCTGTTCTTTTTGCTAGAAGAATCACATACCTACGACAGGCAAAATATAACATACTTGAATTACTTCCAACAATACTGCTCATGTAGGTAAAATGTATGTGAGTGAGCATTTTGAATCCAAAAACTGACATCGAAGACTTCAGAATCTGAAACACTTCTGGTCCCAAACATTTCTGATATTCAACCTGTATTTGATATTCAACATGTATTACAAGTTGGTACATATCAACCAATAATGAGTTCAGATATTTTTAACATCCTCTTAGAAACAGGAGTTTCATTTCTAACACATATAGTTCTGACTGTGTTTCTAAACTCCTAAAGAAATAAGGAGTAATACGTGTCAGACACATGAACCTCAAGGAAAAAAAAAAAAAAAAAATCACACCCCTCTAAATGAAAGCCTATTTTACCTTGTCTCATTAGCATTAACTGGTGTTCATGCCGAGCTGCTTCCATTTCCGCCTCCAGTTTCTCTTTGGCTTCTCTGATGTTTCTGTCAACCTGCTCACGCTGCTGCTTTTCCATTTCATCAAGAGCCTTCCATCGAGACGCATACTCAAATTCAAATGTCCCAGGTTGAGCAAAACGTGGTGGCTGTTCTCTTTCCCTAAATTTACATTGTACATAGAAATGTATGCTTTAAAAGGTGAACAACAACAGATAATACAATAACTACATTTATTGAGCACTTATCCTATTCAAGGGTGTCTGTCAGGCACCTAGATGATTCATTTCACAGCAACACTGCTAGACTTTAGAAAATCCCCACTACGCCCAATTACCATAGTACACAATGGAAACTGAATTCAAACCTACCCAAACCTAATGCTACAACCTGTATTGTTACTCCCCCCAGTAAGGCTTTCCTGGTTTTCACCCAACTACCTTACGTAAGGGATTCCAGAACATATGAATCAAAGTGTGACCTAAGTTAAACGGAATTACAGTATATTTTTGAATAATAAAAGTAGCTACTATTTATTGTGGTGTGCCAAGTTAACTGGCTGAGCCAAAAAACAAAGGTCTAACTTACTACACTTGTTATTTAACATTCCCCTTGCTAAACTATAAATTCAATGAGGCATCAAATATGTCTATTAACTGCTATATATCTCAAGTACACTGCTACATATACCTCAAGGATACAGCCCAGTGTCTGGCATACCATATAAATTCAAAATATGCATTTTGAAGGGTTTTTTCGGGGGAGGGCGACACAGGGTGTCACTATATAGTTGAGGCTGGCCTTAAAACTGTTGCCTAGGATGGCCTCAAACACACAGTGATCCTCTTGCCTCAGCTCTCCAGTGCTGTGATTACTAGCATGAACCACCTGCCTGGCTCAACATTATATTTCTAAAAATTTTTATTATAAAGAATCTTATTTTCAAAAATTTTTACTGTATTTCTATTGTAATCCAGGCACCTGTAACTCCAGCAAGAGAACCTCAAGGTTGAGCCCAGCACAGGCAACCTAATGAGATCCTGTCTCAAAGGAAAGAATGAAACAGGGATGGGGATATAGTTCAGTGTGAAGGCCCAAGGTTCAATCCCCAGTACTGGGTTAAAAAAAAAGAAAAAAAGAGCTTTTATTAGAAATTCTACTTCTTATGACATCCTTGTAGTTAGTTATCTAATTCCTAAATCCAAAAGAGTACCATAGTTCACATGTATAATGGTAAGATAATAGTGAGTCTCATGAACAAGAAACAAAAGTCTTTCAAAAATGGAATTATGAAGAGAAATTAAAATGAAGTACAACCTGTTACTTACTCCTGACCCTCCTTCCCTTGAGGACTCGGCCTGCTTGCTGCTTGTTCCCCCCACTCCATGGCTGCTCCCTCAGTCTTTCCAGATTCCTTCTGCTCTGCCATGTTCAACATGCTAAGTACACCAGTGCTTAGGGGCCAGCCCTGTGATTCAGCTTGCTATTATAGTTGGTAACTTTAGCTGGGATTACCTATACAACTGCACTGCGTGGCACAAAGGCACACAAGTGACTGGTTACAAAAGCAATAGATTCACACCCAGGCAACTGATGTAAATACATTTTTATAATACTAAATGAAAAAGGCAATTGGTAAAAGTGGAAAATGGGCCTTTTCTGTCATCTGTAAGACTCTTTCTCCCTCATTTAAGTAGGACCACTCTGCTCCCACACACTGAAAACCTTTTAAATTACAGTATACATAAAGTATACTAACTGAAGAGGTATTTTCACATTTCTAGATTTCATTTTTCTCTGTTAAGTATACTACACTATGAAAGTAGAAACTATTGTCAGTAAAACTGTTTTATCTATACAAAAAATAGTAATTTTTTAGCATCCCAAGTAGACCAGTAAACTCTAAAAACGAGACTATATAACTAAATAGAACACCCTATTATCCAGTAATAATTAACAAACGTGATGAGAAACACGCCAACAGAAAATATCTCAAACATCCTTATTAATAAAACCTTACTTATGATACTGCTGAGTTTTCTGCATTAGCTTCTCTGGCAAGCCGTCTTCATCATCAAACTGTTCCATAGGCTCCACAATGACTGGACGAGGAGTCCTAGACAGGAGGTATGAAGGCATTAACAAGTATTAACATGGGCATTAGAATTAACAGTACTCTAGAAATATTTTATAATGAAAATATATACTTGCAAAATGTGTCAGTTTAAGAAATATCTCAGAGGGCTGGGGGTATAGCTCAGTGGCATAAGCGCCTGCCTGGCAAGTGCAACGTCGTGAGTTCGATCCCGGGTACCACAAAAAAAAACAAGAACAACAACTCAGAAATATAGTACTCATAAAATCAGTCAATATACATCTGCTGAGCCAGACATAGGTGAATGTCAAAACCAAAGAGGTGAGTGTATTAATCACCAATTATAAACCAGTATGACCACTCTAGTTCAAACTCCTTTCTCATTTATTAAGGTCCAGGTTACCATGACACAGCTTGGTACCCAATAAAGGAAGTCCTTGTTTATTCAAACAAGTAATATGTTATTATCAGCATTTCTAGGCAACTGTTTATAATCAAGTAGCACTGTCAAAAAATCCTTGAAAAGGAAACCCATCTGTGTGTTACACTTTGTCAAGGCCCAGCTCCTCCAGAGTGCAGATTCCCAGTTCATTCAAAGTCAGTCTCAGTTCCTGGACGACACAGGGATAATTCCCTTATGAGGTCCCGTGTTGTCCCTAACAACCTCTAGGATCCAAACAGCACTAGTAATTTAACCATATGCATGCCCTTAAAGCAGCATCAATAATTTGGAGTTCTGGAACCTGATCGTAGTCAACAAGTGTGTTCATCCCTTACTAAATTCCCAGGCATCTATGTCTAGCTTTTGAAATATGTCACCAGCGAGCATCAAACTCCTCACCTGCCTCGTGTGACCCACGGAAATAGGAACAAGCCAAATGGACAGTGGCAGCCGGGGATATAGCGCAGCGGCACAAGCGCCAGCCAAACAGACGGTGGCAATAGGGCTGAGGGCCAGCAGGCAGGAGGCCGCAGGGCACAGCACGGACAGCAGCTGCTACCACGCAGCAGCAGAGAACGCCCAGCATTTCTAGTTAACTTTCGTAAAGTATAATAAAAACAGTATGCCAGGGCTGGTGATGTCTGCCTATAATCTCAGTACTTCGAAGGCTGAGGCAGAAGATTGCCAAGAGTTTGAGACCAGGCTAAGATACACAGTGAGTTTGAGACCAGCCTGACATACGCTGTGAGACCCTGTCTCAAAAAGCCAACGAAAACATGCAATGCTCACCCAACCCGTGCCTTATGTTTTTGGTCTTTAGCATTCCCATCCCTCACAACTGCATTACCCATCTCTGCTTACCTTCCATTTGCCCAGTATAGTTTGGGAAGTTTTTTTCTTTTTTGGAATTTTTTTCCTTTTTGGGGGGTACCAGGAATAGAACTCAGGACCTTGCACTTGCCAGGTAGGCACTTATGCCACTGAGCTATATCCCCGGCCCTGGGAAGTCTTTCTTAAAAAATGTAAACGCCTAACATGAGTCTTCAAAAAAAAAAAAAAAAAAAAAAAAAAAATAAAAACGTCAAAACAAGTGAGTCTTCAAAAAAAAAAAAAAAAAAAAAACAAGAGCCCTCAAAGGTACCAGCCAAGCAAAAGGGAAGGAGGGCAAATACAAGAAAGAATGTTCAACAAGCAAGTTTGGGAGTTAAGGGGAGAGAAAAGAATGGATATTAAAAGATATGACTGGAAACTCTCCTTTTCCCCACTATTTTCCTAAGTAAAACAGAAAGAAGGAAGAGTTCATAGAATAAATAACATACTGATATTAAAATTTTCTTTGCTAAGCTCTTCAGGTATCCAACAGGAAAATCTATTTATACTTCAATCAAAACAAGTGAGGCTTCAGAAGAGCTGAAAGGGTGAAGGCGATTATGGACTCCAAAAGCTTCTCTTTCCACACAAATATGCAGAGATTAACAGATTTCAGATCTTTAATTGAAAAGACTACCTTGTAGATAACAATATGTAAAACAATAACCATTGATAATTTCCTACCACTTTGTCTGTAATTTGGTAAGCCCCCCCCCATTAGGTTATCCTTCTTTTACTCTTCAAAATAAAAAAAAAAAATTTTTTTTTAAAAGATAGAAAATGATTTTTAAAAATTACTTCTGAGGTAGTGGATGCATTTTAGGAAAAGAATTAAAAGCAGGTATAGAATATTGTAGGGAAGCAGAATATAATTAATACAAACCTCAGATAAAATGAGTAGAACCTAAAAAGAAATGACTTGGGGATTTCATACTTCTAAGAAGCTGAGGACCAAAATAAAGACAATACATTATAGGGACCATTCATCCACTGGAAGCCAGGGCAGGACAACAAACATCAGAATGATAATAGGGCCAGATAAGGACAGCTACACTTGAGCACAAATAACAGAGAAAGAGGGTATCTGCTCAATAACACAAGGCCATCCCTGCCCCTCAAAGAAAACTAAGAAAAAGTTTCAAAAAGGAAACCATTCCAAGCCTTAGCAAAATTACTTGCCTCTGACGATACAACATAATACTCAGAAATAACAAGATTAACAATATGAAATGTAGGGCTGGGGATTTAGCTCAGCGGCACAGCGCTCACCCGGCAAGCACAAGGTCGTGAGTTCGATTCCCAGTACCAGAAAAAAACTAAAACTAAAAAAATAACAAGAAAAAACCAGTATGAAACCCAAGCGTAGTGGCCCACACCTACAATCTCAGCACTGAGGGGTGTGAGGCAAGAGGATCACTGCAAGTTCAAGGCCAGCTAGACAACATAATGAGACCCTGTCTCAATAAAACAAAACAAACAAAACAAACAAACAAAACACCAACATATAGCCAGGGAAAATGATGAAGTTCACAGGAAAATATGACATCTTTGGCTAGGTGTGGTGGCACATGCCTGTAATCCCAATACTTGCGGGGCTGAAGCAAGAGAATCACTGCAAGTTTGAGGCCAGCCTGGGGTACAGAGTGAGTTTAAGGCCAGCCTGGAATACACAGTAAGACCCTGTCTCCAAAAAAATGACATTTCTGTTCTCTGAAACATATTTTAATCTTTTAACATATGATAACTAGATAACACTTAAATATATGAGGGGCAGGGGATATAGCTCAGCAGTGCAGCGCCTGCCTGACAATCACAAGGTCCTGAGTTCAATTCCTAGTACCAAAAAAAAAAAAAAAAAAGTTTGAGAAGTAGAGTCTTTGAGGAGGGAGTGTATAAAATATATATACGTAAACTTAAACTTTGCCCCTGCTCCTGTGTTTTTATCACTATTCCTGCAACTCTTATTTCAAAACAGACACATGTAGCCCAGTATGGTGGTGCATACCTGTAGCTCCCAAACTAGTGAGCTAAGGCTGCAAAATTGTGAGTCCAAGGTAAGCACGGTCTACACAGCAAATTCCAGGCTAGCAGAGACTACATAAGAGCCATTCTCACTTGTAAATAAACTGGCACATGAACAAGTGGGTAAAGCTCAGTCACAATCACCATCATCACACTGTGTAACACAAAGAGACTGAGGAACATGATCATCACACTGTGTAACACAAAGAGACTGAGGAACATGAAAACACGCAATATATCAGGAAGGTACTTATAGTATGTGGTGGATTAACTACTGGTCAACTTGTAACACCCAGCTGAACTGAATTAACATGCTTCTGGCTGTGGAAGCCCACCAGAGGATTACAGCCAACAACATGAAGGGAGAACTGGATGGGAAGATGGTGTGCTATTGACTGTTGATTCTCCTGGAGATGCTTGTTAAGCCCGTTTTCCTAACATGAACTTGGCTGTTTCCATCATCGGTGGAGCTTGGATTCTCACTGTAACTGAGAATGCTGTGGTTCTTTTCGGGAAAGCTCTGATCCTTACCTCGAGCATCACTTCCTAGCTTCAGTGCAGATCCTTCAGCCTGCTGGCACAGATCCTTCATCCCGCTGGTGCAGACTTTCTAGCTTCTACCACTGACCTTTGGGCCTTCCCAGCACAGATCCTTGGTACAGACTAGCACGGGACATTGTTGTGGGCTCTAGGCCTCCAGTTGCACTCGTGGAGGACATTGCCATGGGCTCTAGTTCTTCAGCTGGACTAGTGGAAGACACTGCCACGGGCTCCAGGACCTCAGCTGGATTCTTTGGGTCTCTAGTGCATACAGATCTCCTATACTCTCCTGTATTTGGCTTTTTGGGTGTATATTATAAAATAATCCTATAGGGGCTGGGGATTTAGCTCAGCGGCAAAG